CCCCCCCCCTTGAACCTAAACGAGAGCCCAACATCCGAGATGTTTTTGGGAAAAACAAGCTGTGCCTCTGGGAGCTCGTGCTGCAGCTGCGCAGCTGGCGCAGCCAAGGCACTGATTTGCTGTCAGCCAAGACTGCAGATGCACTCGTGGCTGGAGGGCTCATGTGAGACACGAGTCAGGAGACCGTAAGTGAAACCCATCGATTTTTAGATTCATGTAAACAGTTTCCGCTCTGCCCCCGCGTCTTATTTCGCGCCGTGTGGCTAATCACTCTGCGGCTTTCCATACATGATTTTCCTCAATATTTCCAATCCTCGTGGGGTCAGGTTGTCGACGCTGTGGATAATGTAGGCTACGGGCAAATCTTTGCTCTATAGCGTGGCTGACCAGGAGTGAACGTCCGCGCACATGTGCGAGCCATGCTATCCATGCTGATCCGTACCTGTAAGGCATGTGACATAACATTTGAATACACTTTCCTAGTTCTGGGAATCGCCTGGCCCAAGGTGAACACCACATTCCATATCAATAACAGAACGGCATGGCAAAACACACCGCCTTCATGGCAATGGAAGTGCTGCACCGACTAGCATGGGTGATCTGGACAATAGCAAATGAGTTAGTCAAAAGGGCAAGTCTGTGGCGAGCGTTGGTTTATCGAAAGGACACATCAGCAGCATGGCGCTCAGAACTCTTTAGATTAGAGGCAGGCATCCAACTTAGAATGCTGAGGACTCTGAAGTTCTCGGCTTCCGCGTGTCAGCTTCTCCGGTCCAATGTACACAGGAAGCTATGAAGTGTACAGGTACCGTAGAATACCGTAGAGCTGCCGCCAGTGAACACGTTGGCAAAATGGAGCAGCACTTATCAACGCCCTGAATTCTTGACACCAACCTGTGGCAGAACGCTTTTCGGGCAGTCAGCTGAGGCGCCGAACTTCACGCATTTCTTGAGCGGCGCGCCTTGCGTGACTGACGATGGCATTCCAAAGTCTTTGACCCAACCGGGACAGGAGTGCCGTGCTGGCTACAGCAATATCACATCGTGAAAGGAAAAGTCATCGCATGCGGACAAGGCCTTGCCCTTCTTCTTGCCTGCAACAGGGCTCAGGTGACCCCCATCTTTACACTATTTTGCACTGAGCAGGCGCCTGAGGACTCTGTTCTTGGCTTCCAGTTGCCTTGCCACGCCAGGCAAGCTCTGCTAGTATTACGTACGAGGCTAGTGGCTAGTATGCATGCGCAGCACTTGCACCTTGCACCTCATCAGCTTCCAGACTTTCAGCCTGCATGTGATTTCACTGCGTGTTGTCGCTTCATGTCGCTGTGATTCGCCGTGGGTAAGTCTCAACCCTCAACAAATGGCCTGTTGGCCTTGTTTGCGAGGCAATGCCTGACGAGCACTGCACCGCACATCGCATTGCCACCGTCTTATTTCAGGCATGTTCACCTCTGCAGCGTCCTCTTCTTCTTCAGAGTCGCCATCCCTTCTCTTGACATCTATCTGCGACAAGCCCCACCTTGTTGCACAGCACTCAAAGGGGTGACCATTCGTGAATGGCTTGGTGCTAAGTATCTCACTCCTTCAATCGTAGCAACAGGGATCTGGCTCCAGCAGGTGGCAAAGGCACCCGCTTCCTGAGCGCTCGCCGTCCCTGAACTTCATGTCGTGCCATGCAGGCTCCCTTCACCCATTCATATTAGTAGGGCAGGACTTTCAGAATCCATGACCAAGCAGAACCATCTGCGAGGAGGAATCTTACAGACTGATCCGATGTAAGATTGCGAAACCAGTCCCTTCATCCAGCAACCTGCCTCTCCACAGACTGGTAGTCGCCAGCGGTCTTTGCTTTGCAAACTTGACATACCTGTGCCTTGCGCATGTCTGGAAGCTTTGCATGCATGCACGCCCCGCGACTGCTTAAGGTTTTGACTTGCCTGCAGATCCTGTGGTCCAATTTCAATGCGTAGGAGGACACCGCGGTGCTCCCAATGCGCGAACCTGCGAGGAGGCTCCCCTAGCCCAGGACTGCCGAAGATGGGCATCAGCACCAAGATCCAGGCTTTTGACCCGGAGTGAGCTGTCGTCTGCAGGGCATTGAAGGTGATCATGCGACAACCCACCTGCTTACATGCCTGCTATCAAGCCAGACGTCCAAGCCCTGCTGGGAGAGGCAAGCTTTGATATCCTCCGCTGCCTGAGGACTGAAATCTGGCAGCAGAACATGCCACATCGCTGATAAAAAAAAAACTTGAGTGCCAACAACTTCTGAGCTCCTGACTTGAAGAACATCCAACTTATCATGCCGCCCGCGCCACACTACAGGAATTATGACCTGAAAGAAACCGTCAATGACAAAGAACACCGCAAATGAAGCTTCGATGTCTGAGGCTCCAGCCACATCGTGCTGTCGCTGCAGGTGCGCTTTCCCTATCACAGCCAGGTTATGAAAGCATCGCCTAAACTCAGCGCAGAGCAGCCTGATCAGGAGAGCTCTTGGGCCTTCATTAAGTACGTATCAGGCGAACGCAGTGAGCCATTCTGATATCAGAAAGCTGCTTCGATTCTCCTATTATAGCCATCTTGGTGAACGAATGCTGGGTGGAACAGGGGCAATCAACATCTAGCTTGCATTGATTAGCTTGCATTTCTGTTTCTGACTGTGCTCGGACACTTGCCGTTATGACTTAGAATCAACATTGGTTCGCTGGCCCGAACACAACACAAAAATTCCGGAGGGTGAGGGCCTCTGCACATCAGATTTGGTCTGGCGTGCTGAGACGGAATTCCTCTGCCAGGCAAGACCGTCACTTGGTTAAGCTTGCTCACGAAAGGTTGTCGCAGTTTGTCACCAAAATTTTGACCCAAAAAGCTTCCTTGCATCGCCTTCCAACGTAAAAGTTTTATCAGCAAAAACGGACTTGCTGAGCCTGCTGTGGACCCAAGAGACCCTGCTTTGCGTGCTCAGTCTCAGCATGTGGAGGTTGTTTGATATTACCTTTCCTAGCTTGAAGTTCTTGGAGCGCTTGCACGACCCTGTACAATCCGTCTGCCCGTTGGGTAGCTGTAGCAGGTCAAATGGGATGATGTTTCGTAATGGTGCTACCAGAGAGCCATCCCAAATGCTCTAAAGAAGCACATCTCAAGTCCCTACGGACTATTAGTTGAGAGGATCAGGACTTAGTCAAAAACACGATACATCTGCGACCATCTGCGCTTGTGCAAGCGCCGGGCGGCTTGCGTGAACTTTGCCGCCCAGCATGTCGCTCGAGCCATTTTGGTTGCAATCAGCTTTGTGCGCCACAGCAAGCCGCTCCCAATTGCGGAAATCGGCGTCGAAAAAGGCGGAAATCCGCGTCGAAAAGGCGGAAAAAACGGAATGCCACTTTTTGGGAACGTTGAAGTTACACGCTTACCTGAAACCTGGAATTCTGACATTATAGTTTTTTGCGTGTTCACTCAGAAGTTGCGTCCCAGCTCTGCATTCCTGGAATCTAGCAATGATCAGGTTTTCGCGAGGTTAGTACAGTATTGAGCTTCTCGTTGGACTTCCTAATACTTGCATGGCACTGGAATGGCACTTCTCAAGAGGCTACTTCGTACTTAGTACACTTTTGCACATGCTGATTTTGCACTTTTCAAATTCCAGGGTTTCAGTTTTTCAGGCTGCCCCCAGCTGAACAATGACGCTTTTGAATCTTGTACTTCATCCTCCTGCTTTTTGCAGCATTCCGCTTTTAGGGTGAGATTGCCGAAATTTCCAGCATTTGGGCAAATGACTTTCTTTTTGTTTGCAAAGGGTTAGGGCTTTAGTTTCCGAACCAGGGGGTCATAGTTCACGAACCAAGGTTTTCAGTTTCCGAAGTTTTGCGAATCAGGCTTTTTGCTTCGGAATCAGGGCTTTTAGTTTCCGAATCAGGGTTTTCAGTTTCCGAATGAGGGCGTTTAGTTTCCGAATCATTTCCGAATCAGGGTCTTAGTTTCCAAATCAGGTTTTTCAGCTTCCGAGTCAGGGCGTGAGCATTTTGGCACGATGCCAAGAGCCATGAAGACAAAAGAATTCGGCTGGAAGGTCCTTATCACACTTTCTATCAGTTGCTCATGCCGCATCCATCCCGAGCTGAAGTCTGGAAACAAGCCAGCTGGACTTTTTTCGGCCGCATCAGCCTAAGCTTCAATGGTGCCGCCTCTGCTGTTTGCTTACACCAGTCTAGCTGACATGCTGCTGCGTGACTTCCCACTTTTGCTTCTTCTTGCTGCTCTTCAGGCTTTTGGAGTTGCTAACAGCTCCACTCTTTGCCTCTAGCGACAATTTTTGGTATGGCTTGGAATGCAAAATTGTGCCACTGGCCAAGCCGTACTTCCTCGGTACGCTGCCTTGAGCTCCTTGGTAGCTGCTTTGATCTCAGCCTTTGATTTCCCTTCACTTCGAAGCCTGCAGCTGACAGTCGCGATAAGGTTCCACTTCAGCATACATCCAACTCAGTAGACTCAACACACTGCAGACTGACCTCAGCACCAGCTGTTGGATGTCCCTTTGCAGGGCTCGCCGGAGACGCTCCGCAGCATCCACATCACTTGGGGTAGCCGCAGCCACCGTTTGGGCATCGTCCTCGTTGATTTCGTTTTCTTCGACCTTCCTCTTTTTCCCTTTCTGCTTGTGTTCCACAGCAGCAGTCGAAGGGTATTCATCTGTTGTATCTTTGCTGCATGCCTTCCGCTTCTTGACCATGGCAGCACGCCAGTCACATTGGCAATGGATGTCAACTACTTCGGCATCTTCACTCAGGCTGGCAAGGTGCAAAGTTGTGCTGCTTGCCTCGCTTGCAGAAGTATCAGTGGCCAAGATTGAAGAAATGCCGTGTCTTGTTGAGGTCCGGTTACATACACTGAACCAGCTGGTCCACATTGCATTCTAAGAATGTTGTGTTGCAAACTCAGGAGGTTCATCAAGGTTCATCCTGAGCTGCAGGCTGAGAGATGATTTTACCAGGCCCAAGGCTTAGTTTTGGTACTACTAAGCTCTCTGGCTTCTGCATCTGCTCTTTTGGGCAATATCCTCCCGTAGTTTTTCATGGAGAAATCGCCGGGCCGCGGCCGCGAGGACACCGCTTGCACCTCTGACTTGGCCACGGCCAAAAGCATGCCTGTACAAAGCGCTAAGCCGCTAAGTTGCTCCATTTTATGTATCCGCTATCACTGGATCTATAATCTCAATCACTCCGGCAGCATTCGTCCTGACGGGCTGTCATCACACTTCAACTGCGTCAATGTGATGCAAATGCAGAATCGAGACCTTCTTCATCATCACCAGTAAGAAGACCCATCACTCGACTGGAGGCCGGGGTGAGCTCGTAGATCGAGTCGAACTGATGAAGCAAAAACAGCTGTAGCATGTGCAGCTGAATGATTGTCTCCCTGCTGCAGGTTGAGTGACAAAACACAGGGCAGACCACAATGTGTCAAAGCATTCCCAGGCTAGCCTGCTTCTCAGAGTCGTTCAACAATGAACCAAAAGCAACAGCCTGAGCTGGAAGACCATGCAGCATTCTAGACTAGACTGCTTATCTGCACCTCCAACACCAGTCGTCGCAAATCATCACTTGTGATGCGCAGGGACTCGACCTGGAGCACCGACTGTGCAGGAGCATGTTGTGCTGTTAGATTCGCTTTACAGACACCAAGCGATCCAAGCGGTATGTTAGGATCACTCTGAATGCTTTGTTGGCCTCTTTGGCTTTGATCGCCTGCTCAAGCTTCATGGTCGCCTCTTCTGGAGAGTTGACCTTGACTCTGACATCTTCTCAACAATCATTGAGTAAGTCAGTAAATCTATGAACTGGGTTCACGAAACCTTGAAGTTGTGTCTCGTGTTGGTCTGCTGATTGCTCAGTGTGTCAACGGTTCCACACGGCTCTCCAAGGCTCCAAACCATGCCCAGCGCCGTCACCAACTTGTCTTTCAAAGCACGGAGATCCCCAAACAGCCCAGTGACCTTGCGGTGTCAATCGGTCTTCTGTCTGGGCTTCAATATGAGAGGCCTTTGGTGGTCCGGTGGTCGGCAAAGGCTGGGACTTGCATCTCCATCGCAAGCTGTGCTTCGGCGGAGGTCACGGCCCACCTTGCAGTTGCATTGCACAGTCAATTTACAATTACACTCATTACAGCTGCGTATTTGCGGCGTATTGGCACTCCGCAAGGCCCTGGCATGCTCTGCACTTCATCGGGACCAAAAGAGCTGATGTAAGCCTCAGCAAGTAGATGCCAACAGCAAGCAACTTAGTCAGCCGAGGCGAGAATTTGGACGGTGGGCCTTGAGTGAGTCAGCTGCTCCGGGATCCTGACAGAATCACATTTCCACGTTCCGATTCCTCTTTCAGGTTGCAGGAACCCCCATGTCAGACCCCGCAATTTACCTTACAGGCAAAGTGGTCAAGCCAGCAAGGCCAATTCGGAAGAGTCACAGGGCCCGGACAACCATTCCAACATATTCCAACATTTCCAACTTCTTGATCGATGCAAGACAAAGCTAGATTCTAATTCTAGGACAAGATTCGGTTCTCGTCGCTGGGATCGAGACCCACGCTGGTTTCAACTACTGGCTTTGCTCCTCCAACAATGAGCCGAGACCCCATCATGATGAGAACGCTGTAAGATGCTGTAAGCAATCAATGCTCAAAGTGCTCCAGAAACCATTACAACAATATACACCGAAGAGACAAAAGCCAAGCCACCCTCTGGAAAAGTAGCCGGGAACGTGTAGCACACATGCTCGCATGCGGAGCGGTTCGGACCTGCTTTGCTACTCTGCTGCCTGAAGCTTCTGCATCATGTTTGTGCACACAAGCAGCGTTGATTGATAACGCTACCTGGAGCCATTCTTGTGCCAGCTTTCAGGGCAGAAGGCAGGACAAGGGTGGGATTTTTTACAAAGGCGACAAATCAGATAATCAGGACTCAACGCAAAACTCACCACTCACAGACTCTAAATTCTTGGCTTTGGATTTTGGCCCGGGCCCTCCTCCCCAGAAGGTGTTGAGGGTTGGGATTTGACGCAAGCATCTCCCCTAAAGCCTTCTGGCCGAGCGTTCAGGCATGGCCCCCGCCAAGGATGACTAGCACAAACCCTTAAAGACTTTTTTAGGCTCCTACTTTCTGTAGCTTGTTGGGCCTGGAAAAGTGTCTTCGGTGGTGGTGTGCTTGCTGTGAAAAAGGGATTATGTAGGGGTTACATAGGGATTATATTCCTTTATTCCCTACTAGGGTAGCCAACAGCTTCGGGCATCCATACTGAAGGCTGGAACGTCACAGCCAGGGGCGTTCTTAAGGCACTGAGATGTGTGTGAGTATGAGGAGCGAAGGTTGCAGAAACAAGGTGAGTTTTTTTGATCCTGGTATCAGCAACAGTTGCAGCAATGGCAATGCTTTGAGGAGGCATTAAAGCAAGAGTGCAGATAGTTAGGACTGAATGCCAGCATGGCGAGATATCAGTCATTGCGGGCTGCCCGTTCAAATCGTACGGCGTATGGTATGTATGGTAGAAGAGTAACGGTTTGCAAAGTTCGTCCACAAATGAAGCGTAGAGTCTTCTTCGACAATGATTTCTCATGGCAACTCTCAGACTCAGCAATTGAACCTCAATTCATTGACGGTCGGGGTACTTACTCTTGAATTGCCCAGGCCTGCGAAAATGGGTTGGATGCTGCCTCCGCTGCCTGGGTCTCCAGCCACATACCCCTGGTGGACGGAGCAGCATTCTGTGTGAAAGCGCGCCTCGCCCCAAGCACCGAATGTGCCGGCAAGTTTCTCCAGTTGATACCTTTACGGCTTGTGGGCTTTCAACAGGACTAATCTGTTATCCTGATGATGCCTCTGGTCGACTCGGCGCAGGTAATAGCCAAACATTGCCGACATTGCATAAACCTATGAGGGACGCATGTCCATTCCGCCATTGCTGCTTAAGACATTTTAAAACTGTGAAAGAGGGCTCCACTTGGCCAGCTTGAAACAAGGCAATCTGGACAACGCCCATGCCACCGGCAAAGGATGGGTTGCCTGCCAGCATCTAACTTCTTGACTTCATGAACGCACATCTGCATGTTTGATATTTGCTTCTGGCCTCCTTGCTGTCCAATGATGCGGAAGAGGTGGTCCCGAACCAGTTCCAGAGCGTCTGCAGAGTAAATGTCCGTCGTCAGCCCCTGCACTGTTGCAGCCATGAGGTAATGCAACTACATACGAATGCACCAGCCACGAATGCAGAGAGCCAGGCAAGCCTTTAGGTCGATATTCCCGAAGCGCACATCGCCACCTTCCTTGAGCTGTGGTATCAGGGGCACCTGCGCTACAAAACCGGGCAGGTCTTTCATGCTGCTGTTGGTCCTGTTAGTTGAGAAATTGACAGGGCGCATTTAAGAATCAACACGGTGCTCAGGTCGGCGCCTGCAGTTGCTGAAATTTCCGGCATACCTTCAGAAACACAGATCACTAGCGCAACTTCCAGCACTTCTCGGAGGTGCACCTTGAGGTACAGCAACTCCGTAACAGCACCTCAGGAGCCCACCACTCTCAGCAGCTTTCAGCTGGGGGATAGCGTTCAGGCAAGCCCACCCTGCTTCCGCCAAGCGCACTCTTTTCATCAAGGTTAGGCCATGAGCCATAACCCAAAACCTAGCTGCAAGCTTTGGCCCATCCAAGCTTCAAACCCGTAGAACATTCCACCGCCTGAACGGCCCGAATCCATAAAGTTTTCCAACTCCCAACATTGCACGCCTGAAGGGGGGTAGGATGGGGGGGCTTGAGGGTAGGGCTGGGAGCGTGCCTGATTTCAGCAGGATTTGTAGGGGGAGCTGGAAAGCGGTGAACAGCAACTTGAAATAAACCATGTGTCCCGCAACAGGGCTGGCACGACTTCAGTCCAACGTGAGCTGACTGCGTCCAGGTATGGCGCAGGGTTGGCAGAAGCAGCGTCAGGCCTTAAAGTGGGGGCAGCCCCCGCCAATCCCAAGTTTTGCTTGCAGGTTGGGTTGCTGCTCCGCCCACCAGCTAGCTCCCTTAGCGCAGTCCGGCTCCGGCAGAGTGCACTCTTGATGAAGAGCCATGGGCACTGGAGGCCTCCAATGATCTCCAATGATGCTTGTGATGCTGGCAGCCGGCCAGCCTCATTAGCATCATTGGGTCCCTGTTTCTCATTTTGAGGGACTTAGATGCCAATCTAGCTCAGCGGCTTCGTTTGGCGCTGGGGTTGGCCACCATGGTCCAATGCTGTCCGCAAACGCTACCGCGCCCGACCCCACATCACATCCGTTTCTCCAACCAGCCGTCGTGGTCCCCACCATGAATGTGGCCACAAACTTTCTTTCGATTCGAGCCTTGAAGTCCTCAGTCTCCGGTCCCATCGCAACAGCATCATAACCACGTGCGACTCCAAAATCCGTCTGCGCCCAAACGCAAAATCAAGGTGATGTTACATGGTACAAAGCAGGCAGGAATGTGCGGGCATGGACCCCATGTTCCTTAGCATGCTCGGCCTAAGATATTCGCTGATGATGCTGCTGGGCCCGGGCCCAGCTATCATCAGCATCATTGGGGATGCGTTCTCACCCCACAACCCTTTGCGCTGCCTCTGCCCGCCAAATGTTTGTGAAATGCTGCCAGTAGACCCCATGAATTTGATGCTGTCCTCCTGCAGTGATTTCAGGTGTCGGAGACGTATCCCTGCCCCTTTCCGTGGTGTGTTAATACGCCGTACCATTGTGCTGAGTGCATGCAGGCATGCGGGATGGGTGTCGTGCGTTGGTGGGAGCTACCAGTCATTGTGGCAGGGCGGCCTCAGCCACTAGGCTCCAGGACAAGCACACAACGATTTAACTGCAGAAGGCTGTTCGAACACTTCGTCAACCGGCCCTCTTGTCAACCATCTCAGTGTTCAATCACGTGGCAAGTTTCCAATGTAGTTGAGAAGCGTATGCGTTCGTTCATCTTGACTTCCTCGATCCGCTTCCTCAGGACCAAAGTGTCCTTGTACAGGCTGCTACGGGTATACCATGCATGAAGCAGATATGCACGATTGAGAGCCTCTTTTGCATCTTCTAAATCCTCGCCATCAATGCCAGTGGAGACGCACCAGGCAAACAAGAGCTCTTCGGGAAGTCTCAGGCTGTCCTTCTTCTGTTTCTCCTCATCCTCCTTCTCCACTTGCAGCTTCTGGTGGTGCAGCAGCGTGCAAGGACAAGGCATGAATGTTGACGAACATTGCTTGACGTCAAGGAAGTTTGCCTCGAGATCCTCATCAACTGTCATGTCGAAAAGCACAGGATTCTCCTTGGCAAGCCGTAGTGTGCAGCGCTTGGGAGGGGGAGGTCCAGATCTGCCTTCATGAGGTAGTAGGACTTCTGTGCCAGGCCTGTGTATACCTCCGCAGGCCCGGCCTCAGAACAGTTTCATGAACATCCTTCTCGCAGCCTTGCTGACTGAGGCCGCGCTTTCCATTTCTCCGGAAGGTCCGATGCGCGCATGATGGACCTTCTGCTGGTGGAAACCTTCAAGAGGCTGCAGCTAAGGCTGCTCTTTTCCACAGGCATCCTGTTCGGCCTGCGGCTGCCAGTTTGTGAAGGTCAGGTGTTGAGATACCTGCCCCATCGCCTGACATCTCATGATGTAGCTGCAATGCTTCTCAAGCTGCAGGAACTTGGACTGATGTCAGCGCTCGCGGCGCATAGCTCGACAGTCTGCAAATGCATGCAAATGCTATATACTGTGCGCAAGGGTGCGAGAAAACTTCCCGAGATTTTCCCTATTTCAACTCTGCCACCCTTCTTGTCCACAACTGCGGCAGTCTGCTTACATCTGTTTGCTGCTGATACTCATGCCAACAGATTCCAAGGCAGCCACAACCATGACAACAGCTGGTCCTTGGCAGCTCTGCGGGATTGACGGGCATGGCTGTCTTGCTAAAAGCAGAAGGCTAATGCAAGGACTCAGTGACATGGTGTGGGAATGAGGTGCAGTCTGAGCCATCTCAGCTTGAACGCGCTCCCCCAAGCTCTCCGACCTTCAACGCAACAAAGAACATGATCTCACGATCACAGCCTCACAGCAGACTCATCATGCAAAGGCTTGATTCACGAGCCAAGGCCACTACGCCAGCCCTTAACCACTTCCAACACGCAGCAACAAGCATAACGAGAACGGAATGAACGAAACAACGATGACGATATCAGTGTCCTCATCGTCATTTGGGCCATGACCACCGCCGCCGCCACAGCCACCAGATTGTCAGAATGTTACCAGTGTGCTGACTCATGCTGACCTTTTTACCTGGGGGCTGTTCTAAATTCCTTTTCCCGAAAACCCATCACTCGCCGCGCCTTTCGCGGAGCTTT